TTATTGCCTTGAATTCATTATACATGAAGTTATTGCTCTTTATGTTTTATGAGTTGTTATGTTTGATTGAAGAAAATGAAGTGTGGATACTGATTGTGGCAAAAATTGTAGTATTGGAGGCCACATGGTGTTGAATGGTTGCTATTAGAAGTGTTGATGTGTTGTTTGCATTAGCTTACAATGTTATAGCAATAATGGATGATTATGGAAATGAGATTTTACACTTCCTTTAAGATGTTAAAGACTATTAAGGGGAGGTTTATTTGATCCACAAGTTAACCTATTGGTTAATGTCAATAGGAATTGATGTGGCATAGTTAATATGAAAATTCGGATTTAATGGGCTTAGGGGTTTTGGTAACCCTGCTTCTGTATTTCGACCATAACTTGAGTTATAAAAATCGAAATGAGATGATTCTTGAAGCATTAGAAAGCTAAGACACAGACCTATAACTTTTATGTTTATGCCAAGAGCCAATTCGTTTTAGAAAAGGATGGAAAATGGCCTGAAGCATAAACTGGTTATTAAAGTTTAAGATTTAACATAATCAATTCTTATGATTATGAATTGATTATTAATGTATTATTGTAAGTATGCCATGTACTAATGTTTACCCATTAGTTAGATGATATTTGAAAGATATACATGGTCATGATGTTAATACATGATTAATGTTATGAAATGGCATGAAGATGCAATATAATACATGTTTTAAGATGATGTATGTGAGCAAGAGGTAATGTAAGTGGATTGATAATCCATAGATGAATTAAAAGTATTAAGCTCACCAAAATATGTATTTACATGCCATAAGATGTTAGAGATGCAAATAGACATGATAGAGATGCATATAGACACGATGGAAAACGCGTAAGCATATCCTCGTATACCGGTTGAGGAAAGATGAATATATGCTTTAGATGCTAAATAACGCGTAAGCACGCCTCCCGATGATATGAGCTCTAGATGAAATTTGAGGCTAGATGATATGAAGTGCTTAAGATGCTAAGAAAGGTCCGATCGGCTAGACGTTAAATGTTTCATATGCATTTAGTTGCATTACATGAGTTATGATGTTATTTACATCATGAGATGATTTATACTCATGTTAGATGATTTTAGATGTTATGTCATGATATGTGATGTGTGTGTACACATTGATGTTTATATAGCCATGGGATAAAATGATGAAAAGCATATGAATTAGTAATAAAAGAGGAAGTATCCCTAGATGTAAAAGATAAGTGATGTGTTAACAGATATGTTTAAATAAAGATCAAATAGTACATTTAGAATGAAACGGATCATTCCTTACTGAGCGATTAGCGCTTACCCTTTCATTGTTGATTGCTTTGCAGGTAGACTAGAAGCGAGGGATGCTAGAGACAGTGGGACTACACGTGAGGGGAGATGATTTATTGCCATCTCGATGTTTTTATCTTGATGTAAATAATGTAAATGATAAATATTTGTAAAATACCTTTGGAAGCTTCCACCCTATAAATATGTTTTGATTGTGTAATTTCTTAAAGTTTGTAAATTATAAGTTTGGATCCTGCGTGATATTTTATATGCATGTTTTGGATATTATTATTATTATTCTTATACAGATTTTTTCTAAATACAACTCATTCTCCAGACATGTATCCTCGGGATTCTCATTGAGGGATATTCAGAGGATATCTGACTGGAGGGGGGTTTTACAGATTGGAGGTAGAGCAGAAAATGGAAGAGAGGGGACAAACTGGTAATTTATATCTCATATATAGTTGAGGGTATATTAATAATCAGAAATACTATGCATACTATTGGTTTTTACTAACAGCATACAACGTGACATGGCATCTAACATGGTGATGCCAATTCATTTGCCACATCAGTCACTTGCCACGTCAGATAGTTAAAAAAAAAATTCCCAAAAAAAATTTGCTTTTGTCTTACCAGAACAAATTTTTGCCTACAAAAACTTTGCCTCCCTAATCTCAATCTTAATAACTTAAAATCTTCTCTCCCAAATCTCAATCTTAATAACCTCAATCATCTCTCTCAAATCCCAATCTTAATAGCCTAAATCTTCTCCCAAATTAAATCATACTCAAAACCCAAAAACTTTGAAACGCCGGCTATGACATTTTATTGTCGCCGTCGCATTTGTCTCCGTCGCTGACTAGTGAGAGTTCCTTTTGAGTGGTCAGAGCTTACTCACTCAATGGTCTCTCTTACTTACTTGCTGCTTTTGGGAGAAGTGGAACACAACACTTGCTTGGTGCTTTTGGGTTGAGAACCATGTATAAGTGTGTATAAATTTTATGATAAACAATATTATAATGAAAAAGAGCTTTGTAAATCCAATAAATTGAGGAAATTTTGTGCAAATGTAAAACGGTGAAAGGGAACTGCATAATTTGGGGAAGAAAATGTGAAAATCAAATGACTTGGTGACTGGTTTTAGTAATGCCTGGAACCTTTTTCTTGAGGACTAATAATATAGTTTTCAACAAGACACTTAGAAATCTTTTATATTAGTTATCATAATCATATAATCATAATGGCTAAAGTAACCATTTGGATTGTTTTTCTCCAATTCTCAAGTGCAACCCAAATTCTTTAGTATGTGTTGGTTTGGTTTTGGCATGTGTTGGTATAGTTTTGTTATATGTTGGTCAAATTAATAAATCTTTGTGTTTGTCGAAGGCCTGGATTTATGCATGCTTTCTTGAAATTCTTCATGGAAAATACATCTTTGTGTGACCTTAATACTGGTGGTGGACATTTTTGGTACTGTTTTTGTTACTAACATGCATGCTTTTAAGTAATGATGTGGACTTTATTGAGTTAGGTGCTGGTCATTGATGTTGGGATGTACACAAACCCATTTCATATTATAACCAGCAGGATGGTGGACTCTAGTGAGGTCAACTCCTTTTTTTACTGGGTCTTGAGTTTAGATCTACGGCTTGTTGGGTGATGGATGATTATTCATAAATTTGCAGATGGTTTTCTATGTTTAAGGAAACTGATGATCTTTGTTTTGTCATTTCTGTTTCCTTAGATTTAGCTAACTCGTAGCAAATATCCTGCTATAAAGGCACTTGTCTTTTTGCCCCTTATTTCATAAGGATGTTTCTTCCTGTTTTCTACCTTCTTGTTAAAAATTAGTTTCTTGTTATATATCCAGGAGAGATGTTCCTTGGTATCTTAGAAAACATTTAGTTCTTACAACTGGGAGGTTAGTTGTTACTACTTTGATTTGATGTGCTAGCTTATATGGTTTGGATTGTTCTGTCTTTACATATAGTTGCTGCATGTGGATAAATGGGAATCATAGAGAGTACCCGTGTATTGAAACATGAGTGTTGAATATAACTTTCTACATAAATGTAATAGATTATCTTCTTGATTTAACTGTAATTATTAATTGTTTTTTCCTAATTATTAATACACAAGTTTAGTTTAGTTCATTGCATTCAAAATGAATTTAAGTTGTTAAGGGTTTTGCAGAGGAGGTAGAAACAAAGGCTGATAACATGCAGGAGCAGACAATGGAGGAGATAAATGAATAGTTAAAGGCTTCAATTTCTAATACTGAAAGGGTAAGCATTGTAATGAAACGAAGTTATTATTATGTATCAATGAGCACCCATGTTTGTATGATAAATGATAAATTTTTGTATAGCACAAGTTAATGTAGTTTAAACAAAAATTTTGATGGTTTTGTTTCTATCATGTTTGTTATCTTATAATATTCTAATTCTGGGTATTATAATATAAATGAATCAGGATAATCAATTTGAAGAAGTTGAAGATAGAGGAAGTGCAGAGGAGGAATGGGAGCCGAAGCCTGGGATGGTTATTGATTCACTTGATAATCCTCTCCAATACTACAAAAGCTATGGGAATAGAACAAGGTTTGAAGTTATTATAAGATCCTCAAGGAAACGAGATGATGGAGATGTGACAAACGCAACACTGGCTTGTTCTTGTACAAGGAAGTCAAGTAGTAACACCCAAAATACTTTTAAATTGTACCCAGTGACAAAGATGGATTGTAAGGCTTGGGTTGGTGCAGCCGTATGTGGTAACGGAAAATGGAAAATATGTTCAATGGGATTAAATCATAACCATAAGCTTAGTAGCCCAACGAAAACTAGATATTTCAAGAGCAATCGTGGTATACAACCATACGTGAAAAGGAGACTTGAAGTAAATGATAGGGCTAGGATTCGGCCGAATAAAAATTTCAATTCCATGTTAGTTGAAGCAGACAGTCTTGAGAATTTGACTTCCTTGCAAAAAAGATTGTAGGAACTATATTGAAAAAGTTTGGAGGATGCGACTTAGTGCCGGGGACGCTTATGCAATCCAAAAATATTTTTTGAAGATGCAAAAAGATAATGCAAATTTCTTTTACATGATGGATTTAGCTGAGGAGGGTCGATTATAGATTGTTATATGGGTGGATGCAAGAAGTAGGGTTGCATTTAAGGAATTTGGTGACGTTGTCACATTTGACACTACATACTTGACCAACAAGTATGATATGCCATTTGTGGCGTTTGTTGGTGTTGACCATCATGGGCATTCAACACTCTTAGGTTGTGGGTTAACCTCCCATGAGGACACAGAGACTTTTGTTTGGCTTTTTGAATCTTGGCTTGCATGTATGTGGAATTGTGCTCCAAATGCAATAATCATTGATCAAGACAAGGCAATGCAAAATGCAATCAAGATTGTGTTTCTCGGTACACAGCATAGATGGTGTTTGTGGCACATAATAAAGAAATTGTCGGAAAAGTTAAGGGGTTACAGCGAATACGAACGTATTAAGTTTGCTTTGCAAAATGTTGTGTATGATTCATTGACATGTGAGGAGTTCGAACAACGTTGGATTGGATTCATTGATAAATACAACCTTCACAACAATGAGTAGTTACTTGGACTGTATAATGAAAGACAACGTTGGGTGTCAGCGTTTGTAAAAGACACCTTTTGGGCAGGTATGTCTACCACTCAACGGAGTGAAAATATGCATGCATTCTTTGATGGGTATGTAAATTCTAAAACCACTTTGAAACAGTTTGTAGAACAGTATGAGAATGCACTATGTGATAAAGTAGAAAAAGAAAATGAGGCTGATTTTAGATCATGGAAATCATGGATTCCTTGCATAACTGGTTATCCAATGGAGAAACAATTTCAGGAGGCATACACGACCGCAAAATTCAAAGAGTTTCAACAAGAGCTTACTGCTAAGTTGCATTGTGAGATATCTTCTTTCCGAGCCACTAAATCTGAAATAGAATATATTGTAAAGGAAGTTGTCGGGGTTGGGGAGACGTGTCGTAGTGTGCCTTTTGTGGTTTGCTATGATGATCGTGGTTGTGATGTTCGTTGCAACTGTCGATTGTTTGAGTTTAGAGGGATTATTTGTTGACATGCAATAGCGGTATTGCTTCATAAAGAGATTTATCATAGACCTGAAAAATTCATTTTAAGAAGGTGGAGGAAAAATGTATATAGATGCCACACGAAGATTAGAGTTAGTTATAATAGTTGGAGCACGACTGTTGAAGGAGAACGGTTTGATCAGTTGTCTAATTCATTCTCTGAGGTGGCTGATTTAGCCTCAACCAATATTGATGATAGTAATATGGTGATGCATATGATTACTGACATGAAGAAGAAATTATTGTCAAATGAACGTGCTGGTGGGATTGATAGACATGATGACATGTCATGTCACAGTGGATCAAATTTTGATAGTGTTCATGCGAATTCCACAGAGACAAGCAATAAAATTTTAACTCCCTTGGATGTTCGTTGCAAAGGTCGACCTCCATTCAAAAGGAAGCAATCAAAGCTCGAACAAAATGTACGTAAAGGTAAACAAAAGAAATTTCATGAAAAAGTGTGTGCTACGACATCCTTGAATCGATTGTATGATGGGGGTTCCCAAGAAACCAAGCAAGCAAATGAACCTTTTCAAGATGCGATTAACTTCCAAGGATGTGAAAAAGGAGTTCATATATTAAATAAGGTATGATTCATTAATTTTCTACCCTTTTCTTTTTGGTGTACAATTAATTTCTTAAGTCTTTTTTTTTTTTTTACATTTTCCAGAATTACAGTGAAAGGTCAGTCACTTATAGGTTGTATCCAGCAGATTCAAGCTTATGAATGAAGAATAATGGGTGAAGACCATGGTGAAAAGAATAGACAGTTTGAAGATGTTATATTGTAAAGTTGTATTATATAATTTATTTTTGTTCGTTTATAATCCAAGCTAAAGATATCATGCTGTTTTGGATAATATTTTGTTTTGTATCATATATTGTGCATAGTTTCTTACCCTTGTATCATGAACAATATATTTTGTTCTTGTATAATATTTTGTACATGCAAGGCATCAATTTAAAAGATGCAAGATTTACTATAAGCAAAAAAACACTTTATTAATACAATTGCTGGTATTAGCCATTTTTTGTACAATATTTTTACCAAAACAAAACATGACCCCACAACATAACATTGGGGAAAGAACATCTAAATCTTGAAGCATTTGAAAACCTAAATTAGAAGCAATAAATTACATCAAGGAGTCGTAAAAATATGGTTCTCTTTAAACAAGTTGAGTCTGATGAGCTGACTTCTTGATTCTGAACAATCAATTTTTGTGATTTTCTTGATGGTTGCGGGTGGTTGCAAGGGTGCTGGGGGTGTTAGGTTGGTGAAATCTGGGTTGGGCAAGGCCAAGAAAAGTGGTTGGGGTGCGGGGAGGGCAGGGTGGCTTGGGTACAGTGGGGGCAGCTGTGGTGGCGGGTGATGGCTAGGAAGAGACTATAGTAAAGGGGGGTAGTGTGTGGTGGGCTATGGCTGCAGGGAGTTGTAGGGGGTTGCAGGGGTGCTGGCGGTGTTAGGTTGGTGAAATCTAGGTTGGGCAAGGCCAAGAAAGGTGGTTGGGGCGCGGGAAGGGCAGGGTGGCTTAGGTATAGTGGGGGGCAGCTGTGGTGGCGGGTGATGGCTGGGAAGAGACTGCTGTAAAGGGGGGCAGTGTGTGGTGGTGGGTGATGGCTGGGAAGTGACTGTAGTGGACAGAAAATGGGGGCAATGTGTGGTGGGCAATGGCTGCAGGTGGTTGCAAGGGTGCTGGCGGTGTTAGGTTGGTGAAATGTAGGTTGGGCAAGGCCAAGAAAGGTGGTTTGGGGCACTGGGAGGAGACGCACATGCGTTGGGAGTTGCTTGCGCGCGCAGGCGCTTGCTTGTTTATTCCTTGGTTTTGGTTTTAGCAAATGGTTGAGCAGATGGTGAGCATAGAACATATTCAGGTGGATATGGTGACTGACTGACTGGATGCATGGGGAAGGCTGAAAAACATTACAACCAATCAAACAACACAAACACTCCCAATATAATCAATCTCCCATCAAACAAACTCCAAAACAAATACGCCAATCAAGCTGCCATTCCCACCATCCATTCCTCCCGTAAGCCAAACCACCTTACTGGGACCATTTTTCATCTTTCAACTTACTCAATATCCTTCCTTAAACTAAGCCACCTTACTTTGTACCATTGATTCACCAGACACTCAATTTTGAAGTTAAAAACATGTATCAGCAATTTGTAATCTGCAAAGCATAAGCATTCATCAATCTAAACCACAACATTTAGTATGAGCACCACCACTTCGAAACATATTTGAGTTAATGTGAATTCTGAAATTTTAGAACTCTCTCTCTTAGCTTCAGCTTTACTCTTTACTCAATAACTAATATTAATTAACTTGCAGACCATTCCAATGGTTCTTGATCACGTCCTGCAAAGCCCCAATTCTGCTATTAACTTGCTTGGCCACAAAAAGTATATTCAAGGCACACTATAACCATACACAATACAGTCCAAATTTCAAAACCGATTCAAGAAACTCTTCTTAAGAAAGAAACTGTCTACATGAAAAACAATTTGAGTAAATTATTTACACACCTTTTAAGAAATTTATAGTAAATTAATTACACCCCAGTGCACAGAACCAAATACACCTTTAGCCAAGAAATTTCTTTTCAATTTGGTTTTCAACGTTTTCTTAAGTGCAGATTATGACAATCTATCAAATGTCACTACCTGTTTCTTATTTTCCACATGTTGTATGTAATTTTTTCAACTTCAATTTATTTTAGAAATTGCATTTACAGGGTTCATAATGTTAACTATACCTGGAGCAACCACACCAGTTGCAAGAGGAACCCCCAAGTTGCTCCTTAGTTCTGCACAAATTGGTTTTACAAAGCATTGTTTTCCAAAAGAAGTTCCAGCATTTGATGGAACCAAGGATTGATTCGATTGACGAACAGAACCGATCCTGTTGTAAACCAAAAAGGAAAATGAAAAAAAAAATAAAACACTACAGTTAATTGAAACAATCACAAACCCAGAAAATAAGTTCAAACATTGCATTGGTGGCTGATCTTCGGTGGGGATGATAGGGATTTTTGTCAGGGGAGGCCGGTGAGGTGAAAGGTGGCTTTGGGGTAGATTTTCGATGCCGAAATCGACCGAAAATTGGTTTGAAGAGTGCGAACCCTAGATGAGCAACGACCGACGATTGGTGGGTGATCCTCGGTGGGGATGATAGGGGTTTTGGTCAGGGGAGACCGGTGAAGTGAAAGGTGGTGCCGGAGTTTATTTTCGGTGCCAGAGTGGTGGTTAGCGATTTAGGGGAGAAGGAGATTAGGCACAAATGTTTTTTTGGGCAAAAAATTCGTAAGCGGGAAATTTTTTTGGGGAATTTTTTTTTTTTAACTATCTAATGTGGCACGTAATTGATGTGACAGATGAGTTGGTATCGCCATGTCAGATGTCACGTTATGTTGTATGCTGATTAGTAAAAATCAGTAGTATGCATAGTATTTCTAATTAATAATTTTATATTTAAAAAGTGAGTATAATGTAATTGATTATATTGATATGACATAAAATAATTATTAAATCAAATAATAAAGGTATTTTCGTCTTTATAACGTCTGTACCATATCAGTTAATAGGTTCCACTAACAGATCTGATCTTAATGGTGGGTGAAAAAGTTGTTTTTTTGAAACCGTTGGGAAACCTTAGTTAGGCCATCATTCTCCAAAAATGCTTTTAAATATTTCAAAATCTTCAAAACGAGTTCATGGAAACGGCTTTAAGCTGAAATCGAGGTTGTTAAAGAAATTAAAATTTTGAAATAATGTAATTAGCAAAATTACTTCATCAATAATTGAACAATTTTAAAAATGTTTTCGGCCTTCAAAATAAACCACAATATCTTCCCCATTGAATTATGCCTTTATTAGTGGCACTTGAAATTTCAAATCACATTTCGAATCCCAATTTTAAGCGTTCCCTTGTTTAAAAGGTATATTATACCATTCTAAAACTTATAAAGCGTGTTTATTACAATGATAGAATCATAAGGAATATGATCCCCTCAAAACAATACTAAAACGAAAAATCAAATTAATTAAGAGATTCAAACTAAATCTTCTAATATTCCATTATATGTACAAACATTCAACCAACCAACATAAATATGTTAATGTCTCATCAACACAAGTTTTTTTTTACAATTAGAGATCAAAATTTACATTTTGAAGCTAAGATAATAAAACTGAAGCTGGCTTTTCTATTCAGAAATACTATGTTTACTCACGAGTTTTACTAACAGTCTTGTTACTTTTGTTAAAATTACACATAATACCCGTATTATGCATATAGTATTTGTATTATGTGTTATATTTACAAATGATAGTAAGATGGTTAATAAGATGGTGAGAAAGCATAGCATTAATGTTTTCTATTTACTAAATCATGCAATTATTATATTGGATATCCGAATCCTTGATACCCCTCTGAGGAGGAGCCTGTAGGTTGAGCAGCACTCCAATTTTGATCCTTGGATTGACCCAACGAGTTCGAATCAACGGTGCTCGTTATGTCATGTATGCTAGACCTCTTTTTCTCTTTCTTCATCGAGTTTAGACGAAGAAAGTACTTTTGAGCATGGCTAGCCACTTGAGTTGGAGTTCTTGATACGACCGCGTTTCTTGATATGCTCCTCCAATCTCCTTTCCCATATTTCTCTAAACCATATAGAAACAGCCTGAGACCAACACAAATTCAAAATTACACACCATCCCCCACTAAATCACTAATCAAATTTAACCCCATTAATTGTTTTTAATTAAACTTCTGCCCAAACCCGAAAGAACGATCTTCATTTATTCAATATCAAATAAAAAAACATTCAAGATTGGCCAATTGAACAAGAAAGCATCTAGAACTTCCTCCTCCTCAATAATATGATTCAGAAAAGTCAATAAAAATTTTAATTTTTGATATTAACAAAAATCAATTTTATATTATAAGAAACCCTGGTTAATTGAATTTTTTTTTTTTAATATAAAAATTTGGAAAAAAAAAAAGAAAAGAAATTGATAATCTGTACTAACCTATGCTCTTCTGGAGTCCAAGGAATGCCCTTCCTTCTCTCGGTCTCCTTCTCTTTAGCCTTACCCCCAAACCACATCTGACTCGTTCCAGACTCACCACTCCAGCCCGGCGAGTTCAACTCATCTTCATAATTCGGCAATTCAACCAATCCAGAGTCGATCTCTCTCAAATCACGGACCAAATCCTCGTAATGATTTTGTACGTCATCGGAATTCTTTCCAGGGACTCTACTGGCGATCTTTTCCCACCGCTCCGGCGTTTCCTCGGGAAACATGACGAGAGCGTTCTCGAAGAGCTTGTCTTCCTCCCGAGTCCATGAGGAGGAAAACGGCGACATATTAAGGCGGTTGTGAACCATTTCGTTGGTTGATTGGTTGGTGAATAAGGTGTTTTGTTTGTTTAGAATTCTGGTTGCTATGTGAGTCAGTTTTTATGTATAGAAGAAGAAAGAGGTGGTGGCTTTTGGATTACGTTTGCAGTTTGCTTATTAGGCTATGACGGGGACCAACCCTAGTGCTTAAAACACGTGTGATCGATGTATATATAACAATCAGATACAGGGTTATTTCCCCTTACACCCCTAAAACTCTAGAAACTAACCCATGGACCAGAAAAATGGTCTAGAAAGTAGAAACTACTATTCAAACCTCCTGCGATCTACTTTGGTTGTTATTTTGGATGTTAATTTTACTTGACTTGAATGTCTTATTTGCCCTTAAAATTTTGAACTACATTTGATTTTAAACTCTAAAACCATATAATAAGAAAATGAGTGACGCTATTAGCCCCTGCCTTTTATCTTTGCAGACCCCTTTTATAATTTTTTTTTCTAATTCCAATTTTATCCTCCCTCAAAATTACTAAATAGGACAAACTAAAAATAATAACTACATCTATGATATATAATTATTTCAAAATTAAACTCTAATTTTTATTCTACATCATAAAACTTTACTTTAAATTGATTTTTTTATCAATTTTAATTTTGGTTCAACTTGCTTTCTTTTTTTGTTTTTGTTTTTTAATTGTTAGAACAAAACAAATTTGGTACTGTTTTTGAGAAGCAAGGCTAAGAAAATTATTTCATACACCTAATGTAGTATTTGTTGATGAATAACTTAAATTATTTAATGCATCTCAATATGTTAAAATTTTTCAAAATTACTCCTACTGTCAAACGAAAAAATATCTGATTAGTAAAAAAAGGGAAAAAAAAAAAAAGACATTCATCAATATTGTACTTTGTAATCAAATTAGTTACCGTCATCTTCAATAATTTGATAGTTGTACTGTACAAATTGTATTTGATTTAATCTCAAACAACAATTTATAAAATAAAATATAATTGATTGTGATGTAAATCCAAAATAATAATAATAATAATAATAAGGTTAATAAAGTATTAGATAAGTAATTATTTTTAATAAAGAAGGATTTGTTTTGGAAATACATGGGGTATAGTTTGATATTTTAATACTTTTAAAAGTTTTAATGGGTTTTTTTAAGAAGTGAGGTCAAATTAGATAAAATGTGGGGGTAAATAACATTACTCTAAAAAAAATATTAAAATCATTTTATCCAAACTTTAAAACAAATCTCCAAAATACCAAAATTATCAAAACTAAAAAAAATTAAATATCTAAATAATATAAGACTATACCAAATAGTTTTACGTAACTATAATAGGGTTTTAGCTTTCTAATAACTTTTTAATTTTTACATAAAAATATTTAAGATTAGTTTTTGAAAAAAAAAAAACTTATATTTAAAAAATTAAAAACTAAAGAAAAAACCCTAAAAAAAAAATAAATAAATAAAAAATCCTAGGTTGTGGCAAAACCAAAACCATCTACGAAGACTAGACATTAGCTAGCATCATCAACAAAACCATTCCTCATTGTCGTTGACCTACAGCCTATTTGGTTGAGTTTATGAAAATTAGTTTATAAGCAGTTTTCATAAACCTTAAACCGTAAACCCTAAATTATAAGCTAATTCGAGCTTCTAAATATTTGAAATTTAAGTGATTACGTGTTCGGTTAAAATACTTATAAGTGGCTGATAAGTAATTAATACGTTTGGTAAAATGTGGCTTATAAGCACATTTTATTATTAAAATGACTAAAAATGGTACTACGCTATTTTATCAAATAATAAATTATATTAATTCAATTTTCACTATAACATTATCAAAATATATTTCGATCATATTACAATATAATTTAATTTTAAAATTAAATAAACAATTACTTTATATACAAATATTTTATTAAAAATTTATATGAATAGTTTTTAGATTCTTTATACAAAATAAACTAATAAACAAATATAATGAACAAATCTAAAAATAAGGGTATAAGATAGAATTTTAAAATTAAAAAATATTAATGTTGTAATATACTTGGTCAAAGTAGCTTGTAAGCTAAAAAAAAAAAAAAAAAGTATCTTCCCCCAACTTTTTTTTTTTTTTTTTGGCTTATAAGTCTCAAAAGGTTACAAACAAACATGTTAGCTCAATTTTAGAGCTTATAAACTAGTCTAACCAGCTTATAGTAATTACTGACCAAGCCAGGTGTTTGCTTGATCGGTAGCACTTGCCCAATGATGGCTCGATTTTGCCGTGTTTAGGCAAATCAATGCAATTCTTCGTCCGACCAAATGTTGGCTTGATTTTGCCGTGTTTAGGCAAATCAATGCAATTCTTCGTCCGGCCAACTAGCTTGCCTTGGATTTGGCCATGCCAAGCCAAATTCAAGCCAAACGCTACTAACAGCCAAGCTATAATTTTAATTGTTTTTTTTTTTTTTGTTTTTTGAAAAATTTAAAAACTTTTTAAAGTATTTTGAATCTCTTTAAAGTTTTCTATTTTTCATATTAGTTTCCCTTCCTAGTTTTTTATTAAAATTTTTAGTATTTTATACAATTTAATAATTTTTTAAAAATTTAACATGTCAAAAGTCAATTTTTTTTTTCTTGGTAACCGGGGTGTCTAAACCACTTTGCGCGCACCTCAACTAATCCTTGGAGTCTATTGAATATCTTACAAGCCCAAATGACCAGGTAAGTCACAATGTTATTGTGATAGGTAGCCCTAAAGTTTGAACCCAAGAACTCAAGGAAGAGAGCAAACCTCCTTGATTACAAGGCCAACCCCTTAAGGTTCAAAATTAACAACCAAAATAAATGAAGAGGTCTATACGGTAGTTCATGGACTTTTTGAGGTCCATGTATTTTCTTGAGTTTGTGGGAGTGTAAATGGAACTAACCCTAAGGTGGTGTTTACTTGGTAGAATGTATGGAAATGGGAATAGGGATGGGTTGGGGATGGGGATGAGAATGGCAATATGTGAACGAATAAAATATGATTACATTGTTTTTTCTAACAATAAGTAGAGATGAAATAGAATAAAATTTATACTTTTTGGATAAAATTTCCCTTAACTTTAAATGATTATACATATATATTTTTATCATAATATGAAATTTATATAAATTAATTAAACATAAATCACCACATAATTTAATATATTTCAAAAAATATATAAATTGAAATTAATTATTATAAATAAAACTGATATATTATTAACTTATTTTATTTCATAAATTTAAATATTATTTTTTATTTAAATAATCATTTTTCTAAAAATTTAAGAACTGGTCAACGTCGGTCAAAGTTGTCAGATAGCAACGTTTCTTCAAATTTTTGGCGTCATCGCCGACACATGAAGGCTTTTCATCCATTGATCTTTCAATCTGGGTGGAAATCCAATGTTGAATACCGATGTTTGGACGTCATGCGTGACAGTTGTATCTTCCATCGCCATGATTGACATCCATACATTGGTTGTTGGCAACTGTGTTTTAAAAACTGGACTGGACCGACCGGTTGGATCGTCGATCGATCCTCTATCCAGTCTAAAACATAATCAAAACCGCTTATATCATTTGGCTCGGATTGGACCGGCCAAACAGTGTTGAACCGCCGGTTCAACCAATTCAGTAGAAAAAACTGGGTCACTAAGAAAATACCCACCTTCATCTTCATCTTCTCTCCTAACTCTCTCCAATTCTCAGAACTTATCCATTTTAGTCTTCCCAATGAAAATTTTTGCTAAATCTGTAAAATGGCCCCCAACTTTCCCCTCACCTTTTTATCCACACGCCTCCCCTAGCTTCTTTCTCCCATGGATTCTATTTTCATTTCTTCCTCACTTCCCTCTTGCGGGTCGCTGCTTTCATCTTTCCTTCCCGTAAGAACTAATTACTGTTTTTTTGTTTTTATTGATTGATAAAGAGAAGTCATCAAATCAATCTGTAAAATGACCTAACTTTCCCTTCACCTTTTTATCCACGCGCCTCCCCTGGCTTCCTTCTCCCATGGATTTATTAATTTCTCCTCACTTCCATCTCCATTCTTCAGTCTGCCTCATGAAAATTAATTGACAATTTTTTTTTTTTTATTTTTACTTATTGATAAAAGTATGCCAAACCGAAACCGGACCAAATTATCCCATAAACCGATTTGTAACCGAACCAATAATTTGGTTCGGAAACCGGTTAACCGATTATTCAAACTTACCCAAAAAATCAAATACAACCGGTAGAAACTAGTTTCACTAGGAAAAAAAAAAAAAAAAACAAAAAAAAAAAACCCACAACCAAAAACAAATTATAATCATCCACTTCTTCAACAGGTACTAAAAATATAAATTGATCATTAAAGTATTAAAAAATAATATACAACACTCCAAAATTCCGCACTCCACACACCCCAAAATCAAAACTTTCAACAAAACCAACAAAATACACAAAAATTAAAAGAATTGCATCTGTGAACTCGAAGACGCTTTTGCCTGTGATTTTTGGTTGTGCGCCGTCGTGTTTTCGTGCTAATTGAAGACTAAAAATGGCGACCAGTTCGTTATCACCGTAAAGTGCAAGTCGGCAAAGGTAAAGGCACAGTAAAGCAAAAGGAAAATTAACTAATTAAGATATTAATTTAAAAAATAAAAGTGAGGAAAACAAACCCTAGAAATTTGAAAAGGAAGTAAGGAGAGAACCTGAGAGAAGTGAAGGCAATCGCCGAACTGGAGAGAAGAGGGAATGGAGTTTGTTGCGTGATTGCGTCAACACTTTGACATTGAATAAAAGCAAATGTTTGGAATTAGAGAGAGGAGAAAATTTTGGGGAAGGAGGAAGGAATTAGAGAGAAGGAAAATCTCAGGGAAAGAGGGAACGAAAAGGGAGATTATAAGTTTAGGGAATTGGATTTTATATATATTATATATATAAGTTTAGGGATTTGGGCTTTTAGTATTTCGGCTTTATATATATAAACCAATTTGCAAGACTGGTACCAATTAACCGTTTAAAATTAATTTTTAAACTGTTAACTGAACCAGTTTTTCGGTTTATTTAATTTTACAAACCAAAATCAAAATGGTTACTCTAGATAACTGGTTTCAGTCTGATTTTTTTATTCGGTTTGATTTTTTTTTTTTTTTTTTTTTTAGCCCTAGATAAAAGGGAAAGCTTGAACATTTGAAATTGAAAAGTGTTAGGATATGAAAAAAGAAGAAATTAATTAATGAGAGAGAGAGAAGAAGAATGAGTGGTGGAGAGAATGAGAGAGAAAAAGAAGAGGCTTTTTGCTATGAGAGGCGGCTGGAGAATGGAAATTTGGAATTGAAAAAGTGTTGGGATTTGGGATTTGGAAATATGCAACGAAAAGAAATTAATTAAAGAGAGAGGAATAGTGAAGAAAAAGAGTGAGAAGGAGAAAGTGAAAAAGATTGAAATTCAATAATTTTTTTTTTTTTTTATAATGATGTCCGGTTAAACCGGTCAAACCGAAAATTGATAAGTAAACACACGTTACAATTTAAATCTATATCCTCTTTTCATTTTTTTAAATTGTATGTGATTTTTCAAATGTCGACAAATTTTTTTTTTTTCTTTTCTGATGTTTCAATTTTATTTGAAATAAATTAACGTCAAATTCGACAACTAACATGACATAAAATTTATACAACGTTTTCCATTGATTTTTTTTTTTTAATTCTTTTATCTTTCAAACTTAAGTTTTTCCTTAAAGCAAAGGTTCATAAAAAAATATCTAACATTGCTAAGGATCTGATACGTTTACAAGTCTTAAAATACTTGTAAACATGAGTGGATAATGAATTGCAAGTCTTAAAACACTTGCTAATTCGGTTGAATTGAAGAAATTCACTCCAAGTCCTAAAACACTTGGTTTGTGGAATGTGGAAAGCGATAGAGGCTATTCAGCCCAAGCAAGTTCCAAGGAGGGAGAGAGTCCAAACATTTCGGCACAAGCTACTCTAAGTCCAAGCACAACAAAAGAAGCTAAAGTCCACAAAGAAAGAAGTCTAAGTATTGAAAAAGCTCGATTCAACCTAAGTTGCATTCCAAAGAGGAAGATCCACATGATCCCTTATTGGATCCATTTACATGATTCTCAAGACCCAAATTCTTACACCCTTAATAATAGACTTAATTAGGACCATTGATTAGCTTTTGATCTAATGGAAACAAGCTTAGATAACTAACGGGGTGATTAAAGACATAGATCCTAGAATTAAGGAATTTGTGTCTTTTTTACATTAAATAGGCATGACCTTACTTTTTGAACAAATGACTTGTAATATTTAGCTTATTTTATTTTATTTATCAACTTGTTTATCCTTATATTTGCCTATATAAGAGTAACTATTCTATTGTATCATTTAGTTTTTTGAAATATATGAAATTGGTTTATCCATTTGAGAGAACTTTTGTGTTCTTGATTGTGCATTCTTTATCAAAGTCTTGGCAAGGAGATTTGGTGGTAAATCAATTCAAGTTGGTAAAGAAATTCCTTTATGTTTGAAATGTTTTTACTTGTGTTGGTCCTAATTTGCAAGTAAGTGTGAGTTTGTTCTTGTTTTGTGTTTGACTGAATTTCAACTTGGATTTATGACATGTTTTGTTGTTGAATTGGTTGGATTTGGATCAAGATGCAACCACTATATTTTCATAATTATAAATAAAATTATAAAAGTTTCTTTATCTTAGAATTATTTTAAAAAAGATGTTGATTCCTCCTTGAATGTTCACTTTTGGATCATGCTTTCCGTTGTCATCTTATCCACTTTCATAACACGGTTGGCATTTATGTCCCGGGATCTGTTTATCTTTCTTTAACTTTTCTAAAAGCTATTATTATACAACCAAGTTAAAACTATTATTCTTATCCATATTAAACTCTTTTAGAAAATATTCCAATCCAAACATACTCTTTTTTTGTTCAACTTGAACCCACCAGAAGGCCGGCGGTCCAAGCTTAGTTGCTTAAAAGTTAAAGCATTTTTTTTTTTTTTTTTTTTTTGGTAGATTGATATTTCTTTTCGACCGTCAAATTTGGTTCATGAATTTCGAAATCTGTTTCTGGTTGAAAAGTGATCCAAAGATTGAACATTTGAGTTTTAAATTATCAATCTGTAGGGATAGCATTATCTACTTAAGTTTAAATATTAATTAATTTTATTAACTACAGTTTACTCTTGTGATTACTACTAAAACCCTTGTATAATTGCCAATTTTGTGGTAAGCCCCCATACATATGGGAAATGCAACATTAGCCTCACAAACCCCAAGAGGTTGGCCTAACGGTCAAGGAGGCTTAATTATTGGGTTCAAACCTTGGGACCACCTACCACAATAACATTGTGACTTACCAGATCCTTTGGGGTGTTCAATAAACCATAGGGAATTAGTTGAAGTGTGTCCAAGTTGACACTTTGGGCTTGTAGGGTGTTCAATGAATCATAGAGAATTAGTTGAAGTGCGTCTAAGCTGACACGAACTGAGGCTCAACTTTGTTAATGATATATTCCCCTTGTTCAACTTACTGTAACTCAATCATCAAAATTACCTTACATACATAACACTTACCATCTCCATTTCAATTATTTCCTCAACGTCTTCACATTCACTCTCTCTTACTCCCCTCTTCTCTACAAACTTCTCTAAACCTTGGACTCAATCCCTAACATTTTCAAGTGAAGCAACTCCATTGAAATCCACATTCTAGAGTTTTGTTTATGAGTTGCTTAGACTTTTAGTACGTTACACATTTTTGGTTAGATTAGGTTTAATCAACATATTCTATTCCATTAGCAATAGTTTTTTAATATGAAAATGTGTTTATTAAAGCAAATTTTGTTATGTGGATGATGGGTTATGTTGGGTTTGTGAGAAATCAAATATACAAAGCAAAATCAAATATGAAAAGTCAGCTCCATCTTTTTGATATGCTAAAAATATGAGTAAACTTTAGTTGAGATACGCGTAAGTTTATTCGAACACTCCAATTATTAAAAAAAAAAAAAAATCTTCCTTCCTTGAAAATTTGTTTATAAGCAAGGAAGAAAATTGTTTTTCTTACTAATAATTCAAAGTGGCAATAAATATAAGTAAAAGGTAAAAGTGAATTATGCCAAGTGTTTTTCTTCCTTACTCGTAATTCAATTACAAGGAAAAGTTGGGATCCGAACCCATGTAATAGTTGAATTGACAAATCAATTACTTATCCCAAAATCCTATAATTAAGGAGATGTTGCCAAATCAATTGTCACATAGATTTAGATACATATTTGTGATCTTAACTTTGTATACATTATTATTTGCATATAAGGGATTGAATACTAAATAGTTGAATATTTAGCAAATTGCATGTGTGGCATTATTGTTTGCGATCCATGCCGAAGCGTAGAAGAGTGACTTTAGCCCCGGCTTGCCTACCCAAAGGCACTCACCCCAAGGGCCCTCCAATTAATTTTTGTTATTTGACCTTCAAATAAAATATGTACATTTTCAAAAGTTGAGATTATTGAAAAATGAGTAAGCTTTACAAAGAGTCATACAAAGAAACATGTAAAGAGACAAATACAGTCCTTAAAAGAATGGAAAAAGAGAGAGAGAGAGAGGCAATCATGAAATTTAAGGGTTAGATTTATCTCTTTTTATGCCTCTTTATAAGGCTAGTATTACTCTTATTGAATTAGCTATACGTGGTCAAACCCCTTTTCGTTTCGTTAAAATACACCCTTAAATTAATGTTAAAACGTTAATTAATTTAAGAAATATCGAATAATTTGCTCATAATCTATACTGTTATACAAGTAGTACAAGTGACGACATCGTTTTAACTTTGAATGATACATTTTTTCTTTTGTATAATTTATAACCTCATTTTATAAAAAGTATAAAAATGAGTGTCAAAGCAGCTGAAAACGAAAACACTTGTAATTGTCATTATACATGTACAAACTATTCCCCAAATATTCACATTGAAGATTCCAATAGTGCTCATAACCAAGCCCGAAGAATGTGTGAATCATTATTGAATCAAGACCAACATATTCATACATATATTATTACTTGATAGAGAAAATTGCAACAAAATAAGCTATGTATTCAATATAAACCAAACAATAACAATAATCTATGTATACAATAATAATGATTAATATAAGTGAAATCACAATTACTAAAAAAATTTATAAAGCTAATAAGTTGAAAGTATTCTAACAACACATACACATCACAAGTATATCTCTTTCTTTTTCTAATTTTCAAATAACAAAAAATAAATTAAAATAATAGAAATTGAATTGAAATAGATCTTAGGGGGCGTTTGGATCATATAATATCTTATTAGAAGGGGATATTATTTTAATGGAAAGAAATATCACCTTAAAGATTACCGGAAATGTTTAGAAAATGTGTTTGGTTAGTTCGAATAAATTGGTGAATAATATATTTGGTTGGGAGGATAAATGAGTGGATATCTTATATAAAATACTAAATTGCCCTCATTTTTAAATATTAATATAATAGTATTTTTTATTATTATTTTTTGAATAGTTTTTTTAACCCCCTACTTTTCAGATTTGGCACAAACACCCTAACAACCAAAAATGTTTTAAACTTAACAAAAACACCCCTACCCACCCCAAGCCATTGCCAGTAGCCAGCCACCACCGCCAGCCGATCTGGTCATGACACCGGCAGTGCCACAGATCTGGCTGTGAAACGCTGGCCATTTCACGGCTAAAGACTTGGCCGTTTACGACCATAGATATGTTATCTATGGCCAGAAAAGGCCTCACTGCCGCACGACCGGTCGTACATTATTATGACAACTTTTGGCAGCCTTCGACGGTGGCTGACAGTGGTGGCCAGTTCTAGGTACCACAACATTTCGTGATATTTCTATAAATAATGACAATAACAAGGGCAATGTCATCTAGAAAATTTAAAAAGTGAGGACAAAAGGGTCTGCATGAGTTAATTGAGTGTTTTGTAAATCTTAACAAATATAAGGCTAATTTGGA